CACTGCAGAGGGTCTCCTTTTTGTACACAATGTCTGATAGCCCTTCTACAATGTGTTCTCTGGCCAGTTTGTTGATTGTTTTGAAGTTCAAATGGCTAAGCTTTTTGTGCCAGTCCCAGCTTAGTTTTGAATCTCCTTTGGCTATCAGGCAAACTCCATCTTTTGCAGTGTTCCAATCAACTACATAGATGTTCTTCTTCCTTGATGCTGTAAGAACCACTTCCTTTGTTGTCTCATGCTTCACATAGCAGAAGTCCTTTGTGAATTCAACAGTGTAGCCTTTGTCACAGAATTGGCTAGCACTCAGCAAGTTGAACTTCAGTCCTTTGACATATGAGACATCATCAATGATTATCTGGTTCCTGATCAGCTTTCCTCTTCCTTTTGTTTGACCTTCTTTGTCATTACCTCCAAAGGTAACTCTAGGTCCTTTGCATTTCTGGAACTCAGCTAGGCAACTTCTGTCACCTTTCATGTGCCTGGAGCATCCACTATCAATAAACCACTCTTGTTCAGAGATGGCTCCAGCACACAGTTCCTGCAAGATCAAAAGAAAGATTTAGGTACCCAAGCAATGCTGGGTCCTGGGGGGTCATGGAGTCTGGATAGTTGGTACCATTTTGGTCTCATCAAGTGAAACCTTGGTGGGTGGTACCCATTGTCCACCTGGTAGTTGTAGTAAACTGAAGTGTGATTCACTTTTGGCAGATGCTTGTGAGGGTCATGCTTCCTGTTTACATACTTTTGCATAGCCTTTTTTGTTGGAAAGAAGTCCCATATACTATCAAGAGCAGAGGGACGGTTAACCTTGGGCTTCTGAAGTTGACCAGCCAACCTCTTCTGCCTGAAGTTAACTCTCTCTTGATATTTGCCCTTCTGGTGATCATTTCTTGCACGATTGACATGAGGTTGTCTGTCAATGAATGGTCTTTTATTTTTGTTATCTTGAAAACCTTTTCTGTTGTTAGGTTTTCTGCCAGGTTCATTATTTTTCAAGAAGGGTTTCTGTCGAACCTTTATCTTTCCCTTTTCTGGTCTGACTTCCTCATGAACAACCTTGGTGCCAGATACACCAGCTTGACAGATGGGGCTAGAAATCAGTGGCTCTATGACCTTATCTGCCTTAGCAACTCTGGTGCTAGGCATTACAGAAGGCTCACCTGATTCTGTTGAGCCATAACCAAGACCAAAACCAGTGCCAATCTGTTGATCAAGCACAATCTTTTCCATGGAAGACTGGGCCTTCTGGTAAGCTTTGTACTTAATCTCGAGAGGCTCTATTTCTCTTATTCTCTTGAGAAGAGAAACATTTTCAGTCTCCAGTTGATCTCTTTCCTTAATTAGAAGATTGATTTTGGTCTCAACCTCCTTCTTTAAGTCAAGAATTTCAGTTTTCAACTTACTGTTTTCTTCTGTTACAGAAGAATAAGTGGCTTGTATGGCCTTAAATTCTTCCCAAAATTCTGACATTGAATCAGAATCAAAAGCTAAGCCTACCGAAGAAAAACTAGATTCAGAAGTAGAGGTTACCTCAGCATCAGAATGAGCCATGAGGCAAAGGTCTTTCTGTCTCAGTATCAAGGCAACAGAAGGCCTCATCAGAATCTGAGTCAGAACTGGATTCTGTTTCTGACAGAGGGTCTTTCTCTAGCTGTTCTGTCACAAGTGCCTTTCTCCTTCTGGAGTTGTCCTCGTACTTCTTCTTTTATCCATCCTGTCCTTGCTTCTTGGACACTCTAGGATGGGGACAATCAGCCTTGAAGTGACCAGGTTGTCTGCAATTGTAACAGAGAAGCTCTCCACTGCTTTCTGTTGTTTTGACCTTCTGGCATGGCTTTCTGTTGAAAGATGGACTCCTTCCATCTTTGGGATTCTTCATAAACTTTTTGAATCTCCTGGCAAAGGCAGCCATATATTCATCAGATAAAAGTGCTGAAGGGTCAAAATCATTTACCTTAGATGTGCTGGCAGTGAGGGCTGTAGTGGTCCTCTCTTCTGGTACATCTTCCTTTTCTTCAATCATTTCAAACTCATGAGCTTTGAGATCTGAAATGAGCTTATCAGTGGGATAAGTCTTTACATCCTTGCTGGCTTGGACAGCAACCACCTTCATCTTCCATGCTGAGGGCAGTCCCCTCAACACCTTCAGGTTGATTTCTTTGGTGGTGAGTTCCTTGCCAAGCTCAGAGATCTCTCCAATGAGAGTGAGGAGCCTGTCATACATCTTGGAGATGCTTTCACCAGGGAGAAGTTTGAAGTCATCAAACTTCTTGTTGGCTATGGTTAGTTTGTTGTCCTTCTCTTGCTCATCACCAGCTCCAATGAGCTCAAGAGTATCCCAGATTTCCTTAGCAGTCTTGCACTTCTTGATTCTGTTGAAGTACCTATCATCAATGGACTTGTAGAGGATGTCCTTAGCAATATTGTCTAGGTTGTACTTTCTCCTCTCTTCAGTGGTCCATTCTGACTTGGCTTTACTGATCATCTGGGGTCTGGTGTTATCAATGGCATGCTCAAGATTGACCTTCTGGAAGCTTGTGAAAGGGCCAATATCTAGAACTTCCCACATCTCATCATGTAGAGCACAGAGATGTGCTTTCATCCGGATCCTCCAGTCATCAAACTTAAGATCTGAAAACATAAGATTCTTGGACAAGGAGTGGTCCATTATATCGGATAGAAATGAGGTAAAACAGAAAAATAAGTGGATCTTTGTTCAACAAATAACCTAAGAGATTATTAGAACAAGGAGGCTCTGATACCACTTGTTGGTCCCGGTTATACTGGATACAGTCTAGAGGGGGGGTGAATAGACTGTATTGGTTTTTAGCTTTTTAAACTAAGTACCAGATTTACAGAATAGCCTGTTCTGTTGAAAGAACAGACTGGCAGCGGATGGGGTTCTGGTAGGGAGTTCTGTTAGCCTCAGAGAAGCAAAGACAGTAGGCCTTCTGTTAACTCGTAGAACAAGTTCTGCTGAACACAGATACCAAGTCCAAAGAGTTAGACAGTTCTATCTAAGTGCAAGTATTAAAGCAGTAAGTAAACGACACCAGGGATTTTTATAGTGGTTCAAGGAACAACTTGTTCCTCTAGTCCACTGTTCCACTAAGCTGTAAAAACTTCCGTTTACAAAGCCTTAGTCCTAGCACTTAAGAAGCACTCCACGTCTTCTTCAAGTCTAGATGTCTCCTGGGATGCACTGCCTGGCTTCCTTTAAGAATGGTCCTTTCACTGAGCTTCCTGGAAGTATCACCACTTCACTACTCCAGTTACTTGGACGTCCTTCTTGTAGCAAGAAGAGTTTCTGTTGAAACAGGGGTTCCTCCAACTAGCTTCGTTACAAAAGATTTGTATGTGATGAGCTTGAAGGGTTGAAGAACACTTGGAACTTTGCTTAAGTTGGAAAAAGTATTTTTCCAACTTCTGCCTTCTCTTGTAGAAGATAATGAGTTTGAATCTCAAGGAGGCTTTTTGCTTTTCAGAGTTTGAATATCTTGTATGAAGAGTTGTAGTAATGTGTAGCAAAAGTTGCAAAGTTATCCGGTTGTTCTTCGTAGTGTATCTTTTATACTGAGGTTGTCTTCCCGTTGGAGGAGTAGGAGGACAACTGCATTTAATGCGCGAGCAGTTGACTTGACCAGTAGGACCCGGTAAAGTTGGCGGGTTACTATTTTGGGATAAAGTAATCCTGACATTGCGGCCAATCATCTGCAATTACTCCACGGAGCATGGGGAGCATTAAATGAGCATTTAATGCGAGCACTGTAGCTTTTCCGTTTCATACTCCTAGCCGTTGAGGGAATCTTTTAGTTGACTTCCCGGCTTTGTGGATTTCTTCCAAGTGTCAGACCTTCTGGTGTCTTTGGCAGAGAACTGATCAGAGAAGATCTTGAGCACTTCTGTTGATAATAGCTTACAGAGAACCAAGAGGGTTTCTGTCAAGCTAAAGGGTAACAGAGACCCTGAGGTTTTCTGTTCCTTGACAGAGAAGCAAAATCTTTTGTCCGGAGGTCTTCTGGTAGAGAGGCCTTCTGGTAGTCGATTATGCTAAGAACTTTACAAGGGAAAAATTCTAATACATAATTTCTAAAGGGGGTACTTTAAAGTCCTAATTAATATAGCATCATCAAAATCTAAATACAATTATTCCTTACATCATCTTAATGACATTATTGTCATCTTGCAGTTATAATGCCATCTTAATGACATTATTGCCATCCTGACAGAACAAGATGACATTTTCAGATTAAAAAACATGGCACTACTGTATATCCAAAGAAGTTATATTTCCATCTTTATAACATTAGTGCCATAAAATTGACAATATGCGTGGAAATAATATTTGCACATAGAAATTAGGCCATTATTAGTATTACGTTAACAAAGGAGTAATATTTTTATTAATGCCACAAAATTTATAAAAGTAATATGAAAAGTTACAAAACGTTCATTGAAATTCATGTCAAAAATTATAATCTTATTGTAAAAGATAAAATAAAATGCTAAAAGAACAAAAGGTAAAAGAAAAATTGAAAGAGAAAATGAGACCAAAGTAAGAAAAAATTGATAGATTCAAATCTGGAAAAGGGAGAAAAAAATTGAAGCAAAATTAAAAGAATTTGTAAAAGAGGAGGAGGAGGAGGAGGAGGAGGAGGAGGAGGAGGAGGAGGAGGAGGAGGAGGAGGAGGAGGAGGAGGAGGAGAAGAAGAAGAAGAAGAAGAAGAAGAAGAAGAAGAAGAAGAAGAAGAAGAGGCCGAAGAAGAAGTGGAGGCCGAAGAAGGAGGGAAGAATCAAAATGTACCTGCAAAATCGCCGCCACCCGCCGGTGGTCGGAGTTGAGAAGATGAAATCACTGCCCAAACCTTTGTAATCCATCGGAGATGGGTGAATTTATTAGATCTGTTGGAAATATGGAGTTATTTGAGAGGATGATATGTGATAGAGGATGAGTTGCAGTGACAAGGAGAAGAGGAAGAAGAGAGAGGGGAGAGGCAGAGAAAAAATTGGTGCATGAAAAGAAGATGGAGCAGGGAGAATAGATAAAGAGAATGGAGAGGAGATAGGAAGAGGAAAAGTTGTGCGGACACATGCGTGCTAGCAACAGGGGTAAAACGGGAATAAAATTAAAAAAGGTCTTGTTTGGGAAATAAAAATATATAAGGTCCTATTCTTGCACAACTACCATATTTTAGTCCTATATACGTCAATTACTTTTATTATTAACTTTCCAACCTATATTACACTTACTTTGTGCCTTCTCCTGTTCAGAAAATTCCTTCCCGTATGCATAGGCATTTGTTTGAACGTCCGGAGTCCGGACACACGCTAGGCTTCTATATGGACCGACCTCTTGGGTCGTGAAAGTTGACGACTTTGCTTTCACTGATGGGTTTGTTGATATCTTTATAGAGAACAATATCCCATCCGGCTCCCAAATGCTCTTGAGGCATACTAGTGATTTCAGTTCCAGGTCCTCATGTTCGATCAAGATGGTTTCTCTTTGAACTTGGCTGGAACACCCTCTGGGTCTATCATTGATACAACTCCCCCAGGTATGTTTCCAGTGTAATCATCTGCATTCACAACACTAGTTGTTCTTTTTTATCAATTTTCCCAATACTCACCATCACGCTGCCTCTTATTTTATTAACGCACACTTAAGTGTTTTTTTTGGGTTGTGTGTTAATACCTCATGCATATTCTTGTCTATTGTAGATCCATTCTTTGTGTACGTCGAGTCGTGCTTGCCAGATTGCTCATATAGACAATTGTATTGTCCCCCTCATTTTTGTACATGCCGCAACAGACTCCAAAGGTTTGTTTGTATAATTGTATTTGTATTCATTGATTTCCAGCCTGAATAACCTTCAATCTTCCATGCAGGTATATTGTGAAGGTTTCATGCGCCAAGCCAGCGAGCGTCGGGGACGCCTGCAAGTATGCCTTGGAAGAGATGACGCATACTTGGTGGGAGGGAGGGAGCCAATGTTGCGCCAGAATCGGATGAACTTTAACCTCATCAAACAGACCATGCTAGCCATCTTTAGATATGGACGGAATAGGGTGAGGGTGATTGTCCTTTCATCCTGTGGTGTTGAGGATCCACCCAGTAAATGCCATAAATACGAGATCAGTTGATCTGCATGCTGCAATCCTCCCGCCCCTTAATCATCTCCAAATATGTTAACAAACTCTTGCTCCTTTTGCCTAACTGTTTTGTCATCATTGAACAACTATTTTGCGTTTCGTTTCTTTTTTTGAACAAACTAATGGTGTAACTTCGTAATGATACTATCGGTTCCTCTTTTGGAATTTAAATGGGTTTTCACAATTTTATGTCTTGTTCCCTATGTTGGGCATGAATTTCGTGCAACGCACGTTGCCAAGCTAGTAATATTAATATGCAGATATTTTAAATTATATCTTTTTCTATATGATAACCTGAACACAATTAATTTTGTTGAACTATGTGAGTTTGTTATTATATGTGATATTATTTTTATTCATATATGTGATCTCAATTTTGCATTTTGAACCGGGACTCCAAATTCATTATACAGCCCTGATGATAATACAATGATAATATAGTTAAATAGCTAGATAAATTGATTTGTAGCATATATCATCACGTATAGATCATACGGCTAATATTCTATTGTAAGCTTCTATACATGTCAATCTAAGAGCATCTTCAATGCTAAAATGTTAACGGTGCATATGTGGCATGTGAAATAACCAATCAAAAAACAATAAAAAAATATCTATCTTCTTATTTAAAGGATATTACATCATTTTGGTAAGTTTTTCTTCACAATGTCAAGCACAATGTCTAGATGTAGACATTGTGGTTAACATTGCAGAGAAAAACTTACCCAAAACACATAAGACCGTGGAAAGAAAGAGGGATAAATGTTATAAAATCAATATTTTGTGTCTCTCTCATGCTACATGTGCACCGTGCACATTATAGCATTGGAGATTCTCTAAATAGACAGTTCTATCCACATTTCGGTGAGTTGTGCTATGTGTATACATTTTGATTTACACTTTTCATACACTCGTTTGTTTCACGCACACAAAATTATATATATGCAACGACAATTATGTTGATGGACGATTCTGGTGACAACTGTACTAAATTTCATCCTTGAAGTTGCGGTGTAGAGGGGCTGAAATTTCGAAAGCCCTAAGACAAAATGTGTACGCCAAACTTTTTCTTCACACAAATCATAGTAGAAAAATTTATTTAAAACATCCTTACACCAAGGCCATATCAATTTCATCCCGTCTTGGTGGTCAAGTATTTGCTATCCGGCGCTGGGCGAAAAGTGTGAGGAGTGGCAAAGGCTGCGGCAAAACGGGCGAGTTGGCGTCTGAGCGTCTGGGTGAGTATGCCACCCCTCGCGCAGCGTCGCAGAGCGGAAGCTCCGGAAGCCGGAGGACCGGACTGACTTGACGTTGCGGTGTAGAGGGGCTGAAATTTCGAAAGTGAAGCCCGACGGCTAAACCAGTGCAGCGTAACCGGACACACGGAGGGCTTTCCTTTTTTTTCTTTCTAAACGACAGGGTTTTGATCAGAGAATTAATTGCTTGAACATAGGTGGGTCGCCCCTGTTCACTAGTTATGACCGGCAGTGCCATGTGCCCTGCAATAGTTCCCATTCATGACAGCTTCTCGGGTCATTCTCAATTGTCTGGTCATAAGTCTTTTTTGTACTAAGTTTCCCGGTCATCCTTCTCTCTCTTTTGAGCTCTGGTTTGCCAAGAAAATTTTGATCCAACAGTTGCAGCTGCTGCAGGAGCTGAAGAACAGCACAAGAAATCAAGAATGACAGTGAGTATTCAGTTTTCCTGATGCATATACTTCATTGGCTCATTGCTACTAATCGAAAGCTACAAACCATCTACCTGTTATGCTATTCTGAGACGCTTTTTCGTTTCCTGATTGAATTCACTGTATAGTGAATGAGGTTGTGCTTGATTGAATTCTTGAGCAGTTTAATACTCCTCAGTTCCGTATTACTTGTCCGAATTTGAATTCTTGAGTCAATCTATTTCTCTTTCGATTTTTAATTTTTAATTTTATGTGCCCAATCTTTTTCATATTCAAAATTATTCGGTTTTTGTTATTTAGTAAAGCTTTTGGTGTATTTATTTACTACTACAACAACAAACTTATCCCAGTGCCGACTAAAAGGCTCCCACGGTGGTATAAGGGGGGTCGGATGTATGCAACCTTATTCTTGTACTAAAGCACGGAGATATTATTTCTGGATGACCCATGATGAAAACCGTATTGAAAACTGCATAGGCAAACTACTGCTTCATAACAAAGAAGCCCACATAATTTAGTGAGTCATTTTGCTTTATTTTATCATATTTCAAAGCCAAAAAATAGTGAATCTTTAGCTCCATCGGAAATGATGGAATTTTAGTGTTTTTACTATATATATAATTTTTAATTACTAACACAAAGTTACATGTTACAAGGAAGAATTTACTTTATCTTGGTAGTCCATTTTGGACTTGTAATGTGGAACTTAATGAGTTCTTGAGAAGAAAAAAGAAATTGACACATTAAAAACAATTTAGTTTCCAAATTAGGAGTACTATATAGGGAGGGGGTGTTTGGAACTGATTCTGCTTCTGCTTCTTTTTTAAAGCAGAATCAGAATTAGTTTTCAGAAGCTGGTCACCCCCAGCTTCTAAAACAACTGATTCTAGGAGTAAATTAGAGCACCAGAATCACTTCTGCACTTTCACCCAAACACTCCAACTTCTGCTTCTGCTACCTGGAGCAGAAACATTTTTAAGAATCAGATCCAAACACCCCATAAGCATTTTTAAGGAGTAAATAATGTCATACTGAAACCCTATTGCCATATTATGACATTAATACCATATTAAGGTGTAATAATGCCATGCTGTATGATTTCAGGGTGATGATATTTATTCATATTTAGGAAAGTATACATAATACTGCAGCCTACCTTGTGTTCAGTTCTAATTTGGCAAATTTTGATTTGGACAGAGTCCTTGGAAATTGTGTTAGTTGGGAGAGGGATTGTTTGGTAAATTGATTTGGTTATTGATGGATGTTGGTGTGTAGAAACTTAAGATGTTTTCACTTGGATTAATTTCAGTCTCAGACAAGACCAACCTAGACTTGACGACATCGGGCAACACAAAAATACATATAACTAAACAGACCAGACCGGTCTAGATAGACTTAAACATGCCTACCAAACAGACCAAATCAGTTTACACAAACCTAGGGGTGGACCCAGAAAATTCATCTTTGGGGGTTCAAAATATTTTTTTGGGGGGGCTAAAATCATTTTTCATATATATATATATATATATATATATATATATATATATATATATATATATATATATATATATACACTAAAAAAATTAATTGTTCCTCGTATTATTTGCACTAAAATTGTACCCTGCACAATATTAATCTTTGGGGGTTCAAAATATTTTTTTGGGGGGGTCTCTATTACGGCCTGCCTCTGCACAAACCACACTAGAAAATTTTAGTCCAATTGAAAACAACCTTACTCCAAGCCATATCAATTTTCGCCGCGTCCAAGATTTTGAGGTTTTTGGGCTGTTCCTCGTATTATTTGCACTAAAATTGTACCCATAATATAAATAAGGGTTCTTCTTCGTTGGATGATGCATCTCTCAAGAGTTAGTGTTAAGCAGTCTTCTAGCTCATTGGGAAAATAAACTTGTATGTTTTTATTTCATGCCTTTTCTATTCGTTCATCAAAGCAGACAAATTTGGTAATAATAGATCCCGCTAGTTTTATGTATCGTTGTGATGTTGGAACATACAGATAAACTTGAACAGACTAAAAGCTAGAAGTTGTAAACTAGTGTATTTATGACTTAGTACCTCGAACCTCAAGAAAACATTTTGTTGGATCAATTGTTCATGCTCTCCCTAGTTTACTGATGCTATAGACAACTAAATTGCATAAGTTGATTAAACTGCATTTGTCATTTCGCTTTGTAACGCATTGTATATAACCTTTTGGATATTTCCAAGCTCTCATAGTCTCATATGTGGTACCCCAACAACATATTTTTTTAGGGTACATAGAAACAAAGAATGGTTATCTCAGTTTTGAAGCAAAAATACGGAGTAAGTAATTAATCACAGCAGAAATAGAAATGGTGCCGTTATCTTTCCCTTCAAGCAAATTATTTGCAAACCGTCAGTGATCTCATTGCCAATATTGTTTCCAAATCCCATCATATACTATTGGTTGACAAAGCCTCAACTATACAAATAAAGAAGTTTTTATTTGGGAGGGGGGCTTTAAGGGGGCATATGCAATAAAAAATTTACTATAGGAAAAGTACTCCAAATTTCCATTGAAGGCATCTTGAAGACCTTTAGTTGCATAAATTGTGATGAACCGGTTCTAAAATTATTTCCCAGTCAAACAGATTCTATGTTTGCAAAAGGCCATAAGATGAAGACTACAAGGAGCCCCTGTTTGTCATTAGAGTTTGCTGATAAACAACTTCTAGAAATATCGTAGTGTGGAAAGAGCTAAACAGCTAAAGGATTTATATATTCTTTTGCATAAGGAAATGACTTTCTTTGATTTTGTTTTTCTTTCCCTAGCATTAAGTACCCGACCCTTCATAATTTTTCTCAAAATTATGTGACATTTGTAGAGCTTTGGCAAATTCACTTAACTCCTTTTCCCTGTAACTTAAAAAAAGATTGAGACATTCTTGTTTTGCTGCAGAGAGTGTACCCCAAACTACACAAGAGTATCGCACGTCAAAATTTTTTAGCGCAGTTTGGCTCGGTCTACAGCTCGTTCTATCTAAAATTTGGGCTTGGGTTGCGTCCCTATTACCACACGTATGATTAAAAGATAGTCTCTTTCTCAACATCTCTTTCTTCCTAGTTTGATGGGGTGGTGTTATATGGATACACCAATATGGAAGTTTATAATTCTCTGGAATTGCCTAATTTAACGGTGTTGTGTCATATTATTAACTACTAAAACTAAAACTTTCATACGCTGGGAAAGCCTAAATCTTTTAGTGACATATGCATAAAATACCTTTTTCTATATTGTATTATTGACAGGTCAAAAACAGTCTTTTTCTGATGAACTAGGTAAGCAAATTCTTATGGTTTCTTTCAGTTTTATTTTCTTTCATTCATCAAAGAAGGTTAAACGCATAACAGTTCTTCTTTTCTATCATGTTACTGAAATCTCCTTGATTTTCTTCGTTCTATACTTGCACTACATTGCACGTTATCTCAGTGTATATTTGATTCAATTTTGTGCAGCAAATGTTGCAATCACCTGATACTACCAATTGGGAAAATGTCGACAAGGGCAAAAAAGGTGATAACATGAACCCACTTAATCCTCAAGTAGACCCCGTTGCTGTATTAAGTGACTCCCCCGTTCATCAAGACGGCAGGAGCAAAACAGGAAGAATAAAGCGCCCTGCGCCCCTGAAGATAAAACACGTGCGGAAATGGAGTCGAGATGATGTTGATTCTCCCTCGCGGGGGACTGAGAATGGTGGAAGGAGAACTCCCTTTGAGTCACCTCTTCATCGTAATGCGGGCGATAATACTCCAAGGAGAGCTTCTCGCCATGGTGACCGAAGTCTTGATGTTCCACCCCTGCATCATGCAAGGATTGGAGGAGGTGGTGGTAGAGGGGGTAGCGCTGTTTCTTCTCCCACATGGGAAAGAAAAGGTTCATGTGAAGGTGGTCGTGCAATAGCTCCCTCAACACCTTCTAGATCTCGTCTTAGACCAGTCACAAAAGGTGATGACACGGTAATGTCATTTCCCCATCTCTCATGCATTTTCCACCATGCATTGTTAAATGTCTTATATAGGATACTAACAAGATCTATATATCTATTACTCTGTATATAATTATGAGGTAAATCTCACTGTTTGAGGATCACTTAGTGAGTTCGGCCCCAAGTTATTATAGCATCATAACTTGGTCTGAATGGAGGCCTCTTACACATCTCTATTTGGATCCTAAGCATTAGTGACTAAAGTTATTGGGTAGCTTGTTTCTTAAAATGATATAAAAACAACACAAGCAGCTATCAATGATTCTCTGCTATGCTTTTGTTAATTTTGTGAAATTTCAGTAAAAAGTGAAATAAGAGTCGAAATACTAAGCAGTACATGCCAATTGCCACCCTGTATCGCACTCATTTTCTTTCGATTCCATTATTGAGCTCATAGCTAAAGCAGCACCAGCACAGCTTAAAATTTCATCTTTTAACATGTCTTTGTATAGATCATAAATATATCTACATAAATAGGTACAACAACAACAACAACAACATCCAAGCCTTGATCCCAAAAGAATTTGGGGTCGGCTAACATGAATCGATCTATGATATCGATGACAAAAAGAGAAGGCGGACAAGAAAAGGAAAAAAAGTAAGATAAAATGAATAAAATAAAGATAAAATAGGTACAATAAAAAATTACTTGGTGGCAGAGGCCCCTCCAACCCTTCCCTAGCTCTGCCACTGCTCATCATCATGTTAACCCAAACACCATTGGGGCCGGCACATGAATTTAACAGTTTTCGTTACTCATTTAAAAATAAGGAATATTAGACTCTAATAATTCAATTATACATTTGGTTTGTTATACAGTCTTAATGTCCCCTTAGAATTATCCAAGCTTTCCGGACGCCAGTAAATAACAGGCCATTTTTAGAGTGTACTTGTTTTACCAAATAATAATTCCCCGTGAATATTTTAATATGTGGATTGATACCAGGAGGAAACAAAGGTTGAACTATTCTCAAGAAAATGAAAGGCAGGATGATATAAGCAGACGAGAAAAAGTTAGATTATTACAATCAATATTATTATAAAAATATTTCTCTATATATTCACGCAAAAAACGAAGAAATTGCTCAAAATAGGAGTTTAACAAAGGTAAAGGTGTAACATGGATCTAAATATGTTTCTCCCCAAAAGAGGACTTATTTAGTCCTAATAAAAGAATAGGAGAATGAAGTCTTCCCTAAATAGGTTCGCATGAGTCCTATTTTGGGATGAAAACAATGATACTCCTATTTTGAGAAAATTTAGTCTGCTTTATTCCTATTTAAGGTATTTTCTCAAAAACATAGTGGCAATGTTTTCAATGCAGCCGGATCACAACCTAGTAATTCCGAAATTCGGAGATTGGGATGATACTGATCCATCATCAGCAGAACAGTTTAGCCAAGTATTTGACAGAGTGCGGGGTGAGAAGCAGAGTGAGGCAGGGAAAGTACCTGTGATGCCAACTGAAACGCCCGACCCAAACAATGACAAGCCATTAAAAAATGAGAGTTCCAAGGTACAACTTTGCTGGATTTGCAAAGCAAAGGAAGGTCTGTTTTTCCCATAGTTTTCTCTGTCTCTTCTTTATAACAATTTTTTGTTCTTCCAGGGCTGTTCTTGCTTCCCATGGCTTGGGAAGTAAGTAGTGACTACTTAGTCTTCAAATTGTGGAGGAGAAAACACAACTTACTGGAGGCACTTATACAACAGGTTTCTTGGAAGATCAATCATTTTGTTCTGTATGCTTTGTCCAAGTTTGAAGTATAATTTTCTTTTGTTGCATTCCATGAAAGACATTGGGAAAAGTTGTTCAAGAAGAAACTAAGAGATTTTGTTTCTTCATGTCAAACATTTTGACAGATAGTCTGGTTTCATGTAATTTGTACGGAGTATTTTATACGGAGTAATATTCCTTAAAAACTCACTCCCAGCTATATACATGAGATCACATGGCCTTCCAGTTTTAATCTATGATTCTACGTTCTAAATTTGGATTTTGATTGATTAAATATTATTTTTGTTACATAGGAGGATGCACAATAAATAAAAACTTAAGTAGGAGGATGCACAATAAATAAAAAACGATAAAAATTGAGAAAATAACAGACAAATGAAGAACCAGTTGTTTTGCCCCCAGAAATTGATAAAAACATTTATATGCCTTTTAAAATAAGGCATTGTCGGTTGATTGAATAATCAAAAAATATGAGTTTGTAGCTATTGTATTTTTATATCGCAAAAAATATAAAATTGTTTATTTCCATTTTTTTCCTCTCAAAAATATACTTTGTAGTAATAATTAATAAAGAATAAGTACATAAAATATGACTTCGAAAGTCGAGACTGAGAAGAATAAAATGTGATAATTTCCCCCTTTTCAAAACACTTGACTAACCTTCAGAACTTTAAAACTTTAAATACACTCAAATTTCTCATTGATAAAAATGGCCCCCGGTCCTGGCTGCCACCGTCAACCACCATGGATACAGACATACAGTTCGTATACAGACCATATGGTGCAACCGGCGCATTTTGAGCATCATGCTCCACTCCCAAAAATGATGTAGTTTTGCACAATTTAAAAAAAATCGTATGAACAGTACACACGTGTACAGTTGTTGTTTTTTTTCTTTTTTGTCCCAGTAACTTGAACGATGTAATTCGTGTGTAAAGATATGTAACTCGCGTTGATGGCAAATGCAACTTATGTGTACAGAATGTAACTTGTTGGAAATTTGAACAATGATTTTTTTGGGTGTTTTAGATATTATAAATTATAAACATTGATTTCAATGTAAACAATGAAAAAATAGTCATAATAGCTTAATTACTTTTTTATAAATAGTGAATATGTTTTATTTTTAATATTAGGGCAATAAAAATGATATAGCTGGAGTTTATTCCGTGGTGTAACTCGCATACATTAAGGTGTAACTCGCGTATATTAAGATGTAACTCGCGCAGAAGAAGATATAACTTTATGATATATTATCAAATGTAACTTCAAGAATCAAAATAAACAAACTCAATGTTTTAAAAACCTCTAAAGAAATAAAAAAGTGATAAAAAAATATATTATACAAAAAGTGTGTCCATATAAAAAAATATTACAAAAAAGTGTATCAATATAAAAAATATATTACAAAAATAGTGTATGGACTTCTTCAATTTATTGTACAGCAGCAACAGTCAATTTAAAAAATGCAGTGCACGTGTTTGCTTCAAGCTCGAGAGTGCTAGATGATTCATTTAAAAAATGGTGAAGATCAATTCAAAGTGGAGCAATAATCTCCAAGTCCCGTATGGAAATTTTAATTTCCAAGTGAAGCGCAAAGCAAAAATTATGGACGGTCGTGCTAGAGGAGTTACGTTCCGTATGGTGGCTTCACAAAAAACAGATGCCGTTTTAAATGAAATGGTGCCGTTTTGGGATCAGTACACCATGAGCATGGTGGGCCGATCTCATGGTATAATTTTCCTCATGGATAAGATATTTCTTAGGAAATTTCAAAAGTTGCCGGAAACCATTGATGCATCTAACAGATTGTTCTTTGAAAAGTCTTTCTAAATTACTAGAATAAGTCGTTTGAAAAAGATTCTCAAAATGAATGTAATATTACCTTCGTTCCAATGGACTTTGCACTCCTTAAGTTATGTGAGAAATAAGAATAATAAAAATTGTGTGATTGAAGTTTGTGCAGAGAAGAGAGAAATGAGTAGAACCACAAAATAGTTATTTTAATGGGAAAGTGGCAAAGTTTTTTGATACAACCATAAAAGAAAAGATGCCAAAGTTCAATGGGACGGAGGGAGTAATAAAACAAGCAAATAGAACCGGGCCGGTCGGGTCTAGTTCGTAATTTGGGTCACATAGGATTGGGACCGTAATGAATGTAATTCAGACCTAGCTTTTGTTCTGAATAAAAAACCGGCCAGTTTCGGTTCGGACCAGTCCCAAAGCTGAAACTATATACACCCTATGTGCACATTGTTGCATTTATTATAAAATGGAAGCAAATAAGTAGAAGATCAGGGAGAGAAAATATAGTATGAACACTTAGTGATAGAGGTGTATTAGAGATGTTCTAATAGTGTCTTTACAATGAAGGAGAATACTCCTATTTATAGGGGAAAATATAATCTTGTCTAGATTAGGGGCTAATTGTGAGCCATACAATTACCATCTAGAAATCATAATTATGATTTCTTATTTATATTAACAATGATGATAATGTGTTCCTAATCATGAATAGTTAGAAGATGACTAATTCAACTTTATTTCAACACTCCCCCTTGAATGCTAATCTTCTATTTATTCTGGGGTATTAGTATCATAGTATTATAATGTACTGTCTCGTTAAAAACCTTTGTCAGGAAAAATCCAGTGGGATAAAAACCCGACAAAGGGAAAAAGAGTGCAGTGCATTATATTACTCCCCCTCAATTTAACATATATCACGAAGACGACACATTCCAATTTTGTGGACCAGTTCTTCAAATTTCTTCGATGCCAATGACTTTGTGAATAAATCAGCAGGGTTGTCACAGGACTTGATTTGTTTGACATCAATTGTTCCTTCTTTCTCAAAATCATGTGTGGAGAAAAGTTTTGGTGCTATATGCTTTGTTCTATCCCCTTTGATCTGAGCTATACATGTTGTGTTATCTTCATAAATCACAGTAGGATTACAAGTAAAAGATTTTATACCACATTCATTTTGTATGTGCTGGATCATTGATCTCAACCGGACACATTCTCGACCTGCTTCATAAAGAGCAATTAATTCTGCATGATTTGATAATGTGGCAGTTAATGTTTGCTTCATCGATCTCCGTGAGATAGCGGTATCACCATAGGTGAATATATATCCTATTTGTGAATTTTCCTTTTATGGATCAGACAAGTATCTTGCATCGGCATAGCCAATTAAAGTGGCATTTGCACCATTCTTGAAATACAATCCAAGATCGATTGTACCATTGAGATAGCGGAATATATGTTTGACGTCATTCCAATGTCTTCTTGTCGGAGAAGAACTGTACCTGGCTAATAAATTTACAGAAAAAGCAATATCTGGTCGTGTATTATTAACCAAATACATTAACGCTCCAATAGCACTCAAATATGGTATTTCGGGACCAAGGATTTCTTCATCATCTTCACAAGGTCGAAAAGGATCATCATGCACATTGAGAGATCGAACTACCATCGAGGAATTGAGTGGGTGAGCCTTTTCCATGTAAAACCGCTTCAAAAGTTTCTCGGTATAATTTGATTGGTGAATAAAAATACCATTTCTTAAATGTTCAATTTAAATGCCGAGTTAAAATTTTGTTCTCCCAAGGTCTTTCATTTCAAATTCTTTCATGAGATATTTAGCAGTATTTTCAATTTCATTGGGAGTTCCGATTATATTCAAATCATCAACATATACTGCAATTATGGCGAATCCTGATTCAGATCGCTGAATGAAAACACATGGAATAATAGGATCATTTTTTTATCCTTCTTTGATCAAATATTCACTTAGACGGTTATACCACATGCGTCCAGATTGTTTTAATCCATATAATGACTTTTTCAATTTTATGGAAAATAAATATCGAGATTTCGAGCTATAAGCATCAGGTATTTTAAAGCCTCCAGGAATTCTCATATATATGTTTGTATCGAGTGAACCATATAAATATGTGGTCACTACATCCATTAGCCGCATTTGCAGCCTTTCAAAAACAGACATGCCAATTAAAAATCGTAAAGTAGTAGCATCAACTACTGGAGAATACGTCTCATCATAATCGATTCCTGGCATTTGAGAAAAACCTTGGGCAACAAGTCGGGCTTTATATCTAACGATTTCATTTTTCTCATTGCGTTTACGCACAAACACCCATTTAAAACCTACAGGTTTTACGCCTTTTGGCGTGTGGACAATTGGTCCAAAAACATTACGCTTTTCTAGCGATTTTAGTTCTACCTGAATCGCTTCATTCCATTTTGGCCAATCGTTTCTACGACGACATTCGTCAACAGATTTAGGCTCATTGTCATCGTGTTCATTCATTATATCTGTGGCGATGGCATATGAAAATATATCATTAACATCAATATCTTTTCTATTCCATTGTAGTCCATTAGAAACGTAATTGATTGAAATTTCGAGATTATCGACGTTTCTATCTTTATCTGGAATATTTACCTCTTCAAAGGTGATTGGATCCTCTTTTGAGGTATCATTATTACTGATGTTATCTTCAAAGCCGATATTTTCAAAATGTTCATTTTCTTCTTGAGAAGTTTGAACTTCTTTGGCATCACAAACTACGTCTTGCTTTTTAAATTTTCTTGGTTTCAAATCTTTTGAACCAACTGATCTACCACGTTTTTTACGTATCATAGATTCATTAGCAAGAGTTCTTTCGCTAATCTCCGCAGGAATTTCTATTCGAGAAGGAGTATTCATAGCTGGAATATGTGACTTTGTCACTTTCTTTGAGTCTGTGAAAGCATCAAGCAATTGGTTTGCAAGACTTTGTAAATGAATGATCTTTTGAATTTCTTGTTCACAAGCATTTGTGCGAGAATCAAGAAAAGATAAATTTGTTGCATTCCAAGTAATATCTTTCGTACGTGGGTTCATTTCTTTATTATCTCCCCCTAAGGCTGGGAATACCGTCTCATCAAAATGACAGTCATCGAACCGTGCGGTGAATAAGTCACCAGTCATAGGTTCTAGATAATTAATAATTGAGGGAGATTTAAAACCAACATAAATTCTCAACCTTTTTTGAGGACCCATTTTAGTACGATAAGGTGGAGCAATTGATACATACACAGAACAACCTAATATTTTTATGTGTGATATATTTGTTTGTTTACGAGATATTAATTGCAATGGGGAAAATTTATGATATGCAGTTGGCCTAAGCCGAATTAAATTTGCAGCATGCATTATAGCATATCCCCATGCAGATGATGATAATCTGGATTTCATCAATAATGGTC